ATAACTCAATGTATTTCGATTTGATAAAATCAAAATATCTTTCCACTATGCTCACAAACACCATGCAAAACTATATCAAAACTATAGGTCAACCGCTATTCTTGAAAACCTAAATTAAGCTCTTTTTTCTCTGTTGACCCCATTACTCTTCCAAATGTCTCAAGGTCGAAATTGAAACATTCTTTTGGCATTAATGAAAATTACAGCTACACTGAGAGAGTGAATGCGTTTTTAGTTGAGTGGAGTGAGTGATAGAGGTATTGTGTGTTGTTTTGATTGCTAGTCAGAGCTGGCAGCAGCTTTCAGTTCCAACAACTTCTCATTTGACTTATTGAATACTACCAGATAAGTACCCAACACTTCGTTTTCACTCTTAGGTGGATGATGATGACTCTACATGGCATTCTTGTCCTCTCCCTAACTCATTGATCTCCTTTTCACACTTCTGGTGCACCAAGGGTTTGTCTGTGACATATGGGCACAGCTTAGTAACTTGTTCCACACGCTTTTGTATGCCTTGCATCCAATGTATCTTGCACATCAGAAGACCAACTCACCAGAGTGCCAGCTATGGACCAGTTTTGTTGAATCCAAATTACATCTGTGGTGCAGGCAAATACCACAACCACACCCAATGATATTGAGTTGCCTGCTCTTACACATCTGGTCATATCACCTCTTCTGTCATTGTGCTGCCTTTCTGAATTACTATCATGTTAACTCATGTACATCAACCATTTTCGATATCAGCCATTCTACTTACTTTTAAGAGCACTGGATACTCTTCTTTGTGGTGGAAAACATACATCACATCCATAGGGAGGGACACTTCCTGTCCAAACATGAACAGGTTGATAAGTAGCCTGCTTGCCTCTGTTCTGCTGCTCTGTATGCCATTATCATGTATAGCAGATGCTCATCCCAGTTGGGCTTAACAAACTTTGCAAGCATCGACTTAATAGTTTGTACTGCCCATTCGCCCAAATCATTTGTCTGGGAGTGATAAAGTGAAGTACCAGCCTTCAACACACCTAACACTCTAAACAACTCAGTTAAAAATTCGATGATATATTTAGCCACTTGGTCCATGATGATTTCCTCTAGTGCTCCAAACCATAATATCCAATTTTGAAGTAAAGCATCCACAACAGTTTGTACTAACATGTTAGTCAATGGATATGCTTTGTCACACCTCATAGAATACTCAATGACCATGAGTATACAGCGATGGTCTCTTGTGGTCTATAGTAGTGGACAAGCAATATCCACTGATAGCAATGAGTTTATTTTATCATGACCAATATTTTCTCTCAGTAGCATACATAATACAACATTCACAGCAGCACCATACATCTCAAATTACTTTCAGCAAGAAGAACTGCTATCTGATGTTAAATGTGAGTCAAACCTTTGTTTCCTCCAGTCCTGGTGTTGTGTTGTGGGCCCAGGCAATGAAATATGACAAAGTAATAATCTTACAAAATAGTTATCCAACACGTCAATATTCTATCTTGAGTTTTAAAGTTTATTATTTAATTCAGTAAATCATGCTTCACCCTAACGGTGAAAATTCTATCATACAAATAGGGAAGGATCTGTATAAGTAGCATATGAGCAGAGGCATCTCTAGACACTAGCAAACAGGACCCGTGCCCTGATTCTCTTTAATAATGCCTTACTCCAGTTGGTGTATTAAAAAATCAATATAGAAAACCATGATTAATATCATACTGGAATGCCGAAAATTCCCGTTTCCAAATCTTTTACCTACTTAGCGATGCCTCTAGATATGAGATCCCACATTCCACTTCATCCTGTCTCTGTGACAGCTATGTGAAAACTCCTTTGTCACTGTTGTCAGTATTCAGTAGAAACTCAGTCCTTAGAGAGATAGCCAAGCACTGAAACCCCTACTAAAGCAACCTTTAGAATGTTTAGTCATACTACTCTCTCAAAACAAATCGCACTTCCATTTCCCTCCTCGGTCAGAGTCAGTCCTTCAATGTGAATATATTAGCCAGATCTGTCAAAACTCCATTTCTCTGAATAATGTGAACAAGAAATTCCACCTCAGTTTTCAAGAGTGACCATTTCTCCAGTTTCAATTTTAAGCCTGCTTTTATCTGCACAGGGTACTATCTTCGGGTTCTCAAAGATTGAAAAAACACCAAAACATCATTGATGTGGATCAGGCATCTCTCCTGTTGCAGTCCTTTGAGAGGAAGCTCCATCAGCCTCTTGAAATTAGCTTGATATAGAATTCATACAATTCACCTTTCATGCTCAAAGCAGTTTCAACTCTCTTTCGTCATCCAGCTTTAGTTGGAACTATCCAGATACCACATTCAAGGAGTTAAACCAACAAGAACCCTTTAATGCATCCAGGCATTCGTATGTCTACTGTTACAGAAAAGTGTCAATGTGAGTTATGATGTTTACCCATCAGAAGTCCATGCAGAACATTAGTATGCCTTCAATTCTTCTTGCTATGGAAGTGGCTGGTTTGCACCCCCTCAACTGCGTTTAGTTCACCATGATAGAGGTATCAGCATTGCACCTTTCACCAGTGGAGCTGTTACTGCAGCAGCTACTGCAGGTTTCTTTTCTTCCGATGGCCAGTTTGAAGTTATCACTTGAAAGCATGTTGCAACAGACATGGCTTCTTTGAGGATGAAAATGTACCTCACTGCCAGGTGCTGCAGAAGTTCATTAGGAAATTTTACACAAATGTCTTTCAATCATATTTACTAGTCTAGCCCTAACTTCCATCAATGTGATTTTCTAAATTAATCTTTTGTGTGGAACCTTATCAAAATCCTTTTCGAAAATTATCTACAATAAGTTTGCACCTTTTCCATCATACAGATAACAAGAAAAAATCCTCAAACAAAGGAAATAGTTGAGGAAAGCAATGTATTCCTTTAAATAATTCATGCAGGCTTTATTTTAGGATATAATGTTTTCCAATTAAATGATTTTGCAGTTCTTATTTTATCTTACTAACAAGAATGTTTCCACTATAGAAGTATGATTAATCTATAGTTTCAAAAACCACTGTTATCCCCCTTCATAAATAAAACTTATATTTGTGTCCCTAGTCTTACCATTCGCCATTAAATATGAAAAAAGATGATGCATCAACACTATCAATTCCTTTAATAATCATAAACACCTAAATAAGATCCACTCTACCCCTTTCTTAACTCATAAAAAACAACCTCAGAGATCTTTAGCCATCCTCATATGATAGCATTTCCATCCAAAATATCATTCTAGTAGCCCTCCTCTAAACCCTTTCCAACAATGCAATGCCCTTTCTGAGGTAAAGAACCCAAGACTAAACACAATAATAGCAATTGACTCACATATCCAATCCTTAAATTTTTTCAAAACCATTGGGTAAATATTACCTGGCCCAAGTGCCTTATCGCTACTCCCAATCTTTTTTCTTAACAATCTCAGAATTATTTTGATCATTTTGTTCAACCTTGCTTCCATCTAGAAACTGTTAAGGTCGAGAAATATCATTTAAATCTTCATTAGTAAAAACTGAAGTAAAAGTAGAATTTAATAATCCAGCCATCCCATAATAATTAAATATTAACCTTTCGATATCATCCCTTACTGCCATCTTAATATTTTGCTTACCTTTAAAGTAATTGAATAAATCCTTACTATGTATATTTACATTTTCATCCACTTTTTTTTGTATATAAAGAACACGTCTATCTTGAATATTTAAGAAAAAAATTATCCTTGTGCTTTATCTATTTATCAATTTCCCAATCTTTTATACACAGTACAAAGGATTTAAATTAAATACACAATTCAAGTCAATTCAAACATCTAGTAGGGTGTTTTTTTATTGGGATCAAGAGCATTGCTAATGTTCTCTTTTATAAACACTAAAGAAAGGGAAACATTTAAAATTCAGTCTTCTCACAACAAAAACCTTAGCATTAACAATCTTCAATGGCCCAAGCATCATTTTAACATCTTATTATCTATAAAATCATTAAATCTTTCTGTCAACTTAACCTTGTTAAAATCATCATACTTGGCTCTGATATTCTTTATGTTCTTGGTAAGCCAAATAGTTTTGACCTTCTGTATTATCCCTGCACGGATGGTCCAACGTTAAGTTTGGCAGTCTATTATGTTAAACTTCGGGGTTCTATCCCTGCTGTGAGCACCACGCAGATAGATCATTGCGTAGCTTTGCATTTAAATAACATTATCCATCTTTTTGTTTTTAGGAACATATCTCTTTTGAATTATAAGTACTTTTACAAATTTATCAAATCTGTCCCATTTCAACTTTTAATTCATCATCCCAATTCATTTGGATAAATCTTGCCTCATGGCCTCAAAATTTTGAAAAGTAGGAACTAAAATTTCATTTTTCTTAATTTTAAAATCAAGCAAAACACCAAATTAATCAAGCAAAAGTTACGTTTTATCAAATGTTTTCCACTAGAACTCTTGTAACCACATCCTTGTTTATGGTTCAAATTTAATCTAAAATGGCGTCACCTTTGGTTATATCTCTGACTATTTGGTATTAGAAAACTGTCCTGAATTACTTCAAGAAACCTCTCTCACTCACTTCTTGACCACATGTAATCATTATCAACGTGTTGAATTTAATACGAATTTCGAGCAAAGCTACTAGAGGACTGTTTGCGCTAGGCGCCCCTAATTTAGCAGTGATAGACTAAAGAGAAGGAAGCTAATTAACACCACCCACTGCCAACCCTTGGGCTACTTTTTTACCAACGAATAGTTGGTATTGACCGTCGCACTATGACGATCTCATGGCTGAAAGGGTGATCATGTTCGATGAAGGAGATTCGAACCTGCAGATTGCGACTCGATTGCCTTATCCACCATGTTTTAATCAATAACAACATAACTTCAAAGTCCCGTTCACTTAATTTTTCTTTATTACGGGATTTTTTTTAAGGTGGCGTTACAGTGATCACCATAGAAACTTAGAATTCTTTGTCAATGTTTCGTAAACTAAGACAATGTAAAATATGAAGCTATTTCAAGATTAGTTATTTTGGATTTTATCTGTTTTTAAAATTAATGAAAATATGTCAAAAGAAAACGCAACTCTTATGGCTACAATCGATGTAAGAACTTAGAAAGATAGTTAATCAACCATAACTTTAGAATTCGTTACGTTGCCAAAAAATTAAACCGGTAACTTAGTGCTATAACTGATTAATTATTGTCGTATGTAATATTATGATAATATTTATTTCAGTACAAACTTTGCGGTAATGGATTGTTAATAAAAATAACTAGATAAGTCATGGGTCCAAAGTCTCTCTACCCATGTTACTAGTATATTCTCATAGATAACCTAGTTACTGTAACCTCAGGATACTGTCAAAAGTTCGTGGTTTTGTCAAAACAGATACAAAAAGAATGTTAAATAATTGCGTAAATTACACGAAAGTCTGTGTATTAGACAAAGATGGAAACAATGTGACTCCCAGGTCTCTAAAGTGCAGTGTGGATTATGTCAATGGGATAAGTAATCACTTTAATAATGGGAAAAGAAAACAAAAAAATGAAACAGTGAGTGATGACAAAAACCAGAATTTTTTTGTAGGAAACAGTAGTATATTCAACAAAACAAAAACTCTATTATATCAGACTGGCCTTAAAAGTTCAGTCTTTTTTGGTGAATCAGGTTGGTGTCACTTAGATGATAATGAAGATAACATAGAAAATACTACAGAAAATGATGAATCAGACAAAACTTTTAAAAATTATACCAAGGTAGAAAAAACTGCCAAAAAAGGACAGTATTATAAAGGAGCAAGAGAGTCAAAACATAACTCTTCTGTGAAATCAGTCTCAGAAGTAATGTTAAGGGAAACTAAAACTATATGGTTGTTTGAATTACCAAGTTCTTCTGTTGCAATAAATGATGATAAAAGTAAAAATACTTTAAAAAAACTAAATGACTATAAAAATTTCTTAAAATGTCATCCATGTGGAGAAGGTCTTGTTCAGCATGCAGTTCAAACTTATTACATTCATAAAAAGCATAAGCAAACACAAACAGATAAAGTAATGCAAATGGAAAAGGATTTATTATCTTCATCATGGTTAATTTATGATGCATTCAACCAAACTGAAACAAATTTCAAAGAAGAAAATACGAAAGGTAAACACATATCCAAGTGCAGTAATGAAATTTCAATAAATATTCTTCCTAATATTCTACAAAATATGATAATTATGGAAAGGACTTTGAGCATGAAGACCCATGGTCATGTTGTTGCAGAGATTAAAGGACATAAGCAAGGCAGCAGTAATCATTTTTTGGGTGAAGTAAAAACTGATGGCAATTTTTCTGAAGGATCCTATTTACAAAGGCTATTTTCATTCTCTTCTTCAGTCTTGCAAGATTATAGTGTCACCTGCTTTAAGTGGAATCCATGTTGTCCTGATATTTTTGTTGTTGGTCTTTCAAAACAGACAAATTCTGAAAGCAAAAATGGGCTTGTTTGCTGTTGGTCATTTAAGAACTGCAAATTTCCAGAACGTTTTTATAAGACATTATTGGGTGTAACATGTCTGGAATTTTCAACCAAACATCCATACTTACTTGCTGTTGGAATGCATGAAGGAATTATTGCAATATTTGATGTAAGGAAACTTGGTAAGTATCAAGTGGTAGATAACACTGAAACAAAGCTTAGGCCCTCAGGAGCAATATGGCAGTTGCAATGGATATGTAAGAGCATAGGTGGAAATGAGAAAGAGATCTTGATATCAACATCAGATGATGGATTTATACTTCAGTGGATGGTAGGAACTGGAATGGAGTGCATTCCTCTTATGCATTTAAAGAGATCTGCTTCAAAGTCTTCAACTGGAAAGAAAGAAAAGAGAGCTGAAGCTCTGATTTCTCACTATTCTAGTGGTTTTACCATAGACTTCAAACAGCATGATTCAAACATATATATTGTTGGAACTGATGAAGGAAACATTCATATGTGCTCTACTTCATACAGTGAACAATTCTTGCAAACTTATTCTTTTCATCAAGGAGCTGTGTTTCAAACCTGCTGGTCTCCATTTGTGCCTGAAATTTTTTTAAGTGCAAGTAATGACTGGTCTGTCTGCATATGGGAAGAGAAATCTCAACAACCTGGAGTTATTTTGAAACTTCAATCTAAACAGGCTGTCTTGGATGCTAAGTGGTCTCCCACAATTTCTACTGTATTTGTTGCTTTGTCAGCTAATGCTCTAGAACTGTGGGATGTTTCACAAAATTTAGTTGATCCTGTTTGCAGTTGGAAATCTGTTACTACTGAAAAATTTACATCTGTTTGTTTCTGTAAACAAGAAAATACATTAGCATTAGGTGATAGTACTGGTATTGTGACTTTACTTTCAGTGAAAGGAATGCGTAACCCACCTACTGACCAGAAAAAAGCTTTACTCAATATTTTATATTCTGATGTCTCAAGTCAATTACTTAACAAATAAGACCAAAGTAAAATTAAGACTTGAATCTTGTCATGAACTAACACAAAAATATACATGCACAAACTTTATTTATAGTCCTTATAGACAAATACATGTATATACCTATACAGGATATTGTTGTTACATGTTTTGGGCATAAAATAACTACTATAATTTTAAAGAATATCACAGTCTTTTATATTTTTTTAACATATTTTTAAAAAATAGTGATATATGTTTTTTGTAAAGCTTAAACAAATTTTGTTATGCCTGTCAGGTCCTAATTTTACTGAAATGACATGCTTGTCAGTTCTTCTTCTTAAATACCATCTAATACTTGATAATTACATATGAAAATACTTTTATCTTTAATACTATACAAAATGTTTTGTGTATTTATATGCTTTGTAAATGTGTTCTATTCAGTTATATAAAGAGTTAAATTTTAATCTTCTGTATTTTTTGTGTATATTAAACTTAAAAACCTTGTTTAAAAATATTCACAATTTTTGACTTCAGATAAAGCTATTCACTGATACTTTGGTTTTGCACATTCTGAAGGGATTACAGTTCAAGGGCTTACTCTGGAAAATTTGAAATTTCAAACAACATTCTTCTACTAAAGTGCATGAAATGCTCATGGTTAAGACTACTTTCTATTGTTTAAAAACCATGGTTGCTTATAAAAAATATTTTAAAAAATGAAGAACAATGGTTTATGTTGTACATATTATACCTTAATTCTACATATAAAAGAATAATGACATCAGAAACAATATACAACTGAACATTTATTTTGGTATGTTTTAATTGTATTTTTGTCGTTAATGGAAATTAAAAACACAATATCTTATGTCAGTAAGGATTACTGTCAATAAAAAACGTTGGTAATATATATATATATATAGAAGTAATAAAAGAAATTCCAGAAAATCTTGACGTAGGGATGAAATGCCAAAAAGTACAGAAACAAGGTAGGAATGAATACACAAAACCATACAAAAATACCTACATTAGTAGCCAGTAAGTACTGAGTCAGTACATTCTATGTGAGGAATGGCCAAGGTACTCAGTAGGCATAACACAAATATGCATGTTAAAAAATCAACAGTGACAGAGAGTTTTACTTTAAAACATGATTCCCACTCACTTTCATTTGTTTCTCTACCCAACAAGGCAAGAAACCATCACTAAGATACCAAATCAGAAAGTGACCAACCAACCAAATTGTTCATCTTTCTTCTTCTTTGTTAATTATCCACTGTAAGACTGTACAGCACTATTCAGTTTAAATGCTTTTATTCAAACCTGAATTATGCAGCTGACAGGAATTCAACAATTAACTGTAGATAAAAGTTTCTTAGAAAGATTTGGCTACTTATATAGTGATTTTTTTATGGTTTTTGTGTACTCATCCCTACTTTGTTTATGTATTTTTTGGCATTCTCATCTCTACATCATACTTAATTTTTTCTAATTCTTTTATTATATGTTTACCATCTTTTTTTAAACAATTTCACTGAAGTAAGTTGATAAATAAACATTTGTTTTGTTTTTGTGATTCAGTGGAAATATTTATTGTTAATATCATATCTGTTTTGTCAGTTTCTTCATTGCACTTGTTACAATGACCTCGGATATTGATATTATACCAATTAGTTGGCTACAACAAATTTTAAATCATCACTGGTCATAATCTTGACTTCTTGGAACTTAATGTTGATGAACCTACAGTAAGGAAAGAACAAGTGAAAAATATAGAGCTGGATCTACTCTATATTCACATTTTCATTCTTTTTGACACTTACATCGCTACATAATTTTACATTTACAAAATGTTTTTATTATTTGTTTTATGACATTTTTTCTCCTGACTGAAAGTTAGTGTAGTCTATGAACATGTGTAATAAAACTTAATATTATGTACACTGATTTTTTGCTTTTTATCTTCATATATAATATATGGATTGGGTCCCTAAAGACACTGATTGTATAGTGACATTGAGTATTGTACATATTACCGTCATCTAATGTTCATCTATTACTGATTGGTAATTTCTGTTTCATCCTGTACTTGAGCTTTACAAAGGAAAAGCAGATTTCTGTAAGAAAGGTTATCTTCATGGGATAATGACCACATCATTTACACTAGAATTGTTATTTTTTTTTTATCTTCTACTAAGCACTACCATGCTTAATAATAGCTTGTTCTCAAGTGCTCTTAAAATACTTTTCTGTCATACTAAAGCCATTGCAAAAATTGCACACATTTTTTGTGGAAAAGGAGAGATGAACACTTTGACTCTTTAGCTAGTTCCCAGTTCTCAACTTTAACAATACTTTTCAATGATATTGGGAGTCTAATAAATTGTGAAACACTCAATAATGGCAATTAGGTGTTCAAATAAGGCTATAACTCAACTGTAGCAGTTACTTGTAAGCATCTTAGAGTAATAGATTGAATGTGGCAGTCAATTTTTTTCAGCTCATCCCTACATACTACCATGCTTAGTGATATTGTAAATTTTCTAAAAGGATTTCTTCATTTAGGGAATTATTTACACAAACACAGCCCTGTTTCTGTTAATATTAGCTGTTTTTTATTTAATGTAGCTCAGTGGCTTCATGCTTTTAACTTATAGTTGAATGGTTAGGAGTTCAAGACTGGCCTATAACATGCTGCTGTATCCTTAGGCAAAACATTTTTACCCCCTCTTATTCCAGTTTACCCAGCTGTTAGCTGGAGGTTAACCTCTGGTGGACTGGCATCCCATCTAGGGAAGATAGGTCACCATTTTCATCTGCTTTTGCTGCTTGAAGCCAGAGTTCAAAAGCACCAGTCCTATGTGGCTTACAAAGGCATGGCAAGGATTTAGCTTTCTGTAATGACAGTAGTGTTGCTATTTTCATTTCTTTAAAATATTTTGTTCTTGCTAAAGTTTTGAAAAAAAAAGAGGATAATTTTTGCTTAATGAGGAAAAAACAAATTAATAGGATAGCTAGGGCAATGAGGAGATTGGAAAAATAAAAAGATTTGAAAGATAATAATTTAAGTAATAGTTTTAAAGGCAAGTTTGCCTGGCTTAAAGATGAAGATAGTAGATTCAAGAACAAGCTTAGTTACTTTTATTCTAAGGTTAGGAGTATGAGATACAGAATGGGTGAATTCAGAGCTCTGATTGAAGTGGAAGACTGTGATAAAATAGGAATTATATAAACTTGGTTAGATTTAAAGAATTAAGTTTTGTTATAATCAGATTATCTAATGATTTATGGAATTTTTTGAATCAGACCATGCAAGACTCCAAGATAGAGAAATAGGACAGATGAGGTTGTTATATGAAAATCCTCGGAAAAGTTTCATTTGGATTCAACTGTTAATGATAACCAGAGATTCAAAAATATACTGAAATAATCCTTGCTATCTGAGCACTGAGGTTAAGTTTTGTGGCAAATGTTGAAAAATGTTTGCTTGTAGAAACTCCCAGAGCAAACTCACAAACTTGTTTAAAAGTTGATGTGACTTTGTGGTGTATTGATGTGCAAGATTGTATCTAATAGTATGGTTGGTATATATCAGTCTTCCAAAAATGCAGTGAGGGAGTTGTGCTGTAACGGAGCATGAACAAATTAACATATACTGTATAAATCAAGTGAAATATGTAACACTTTGTAAGATTTTTTATCTGAATTTTTAAACATTTCTCTAATGTAGTGGAATTTCATGACCCTGGGATGGTATTACTATCAGGATAAACACAATGGTTCTTTCTGATTCCTATGTTATAATTACAAGAGTAATATTGCTGTTTGCCTACTACATTGGACTGTTTGCATATGCCTGTATTTTACATTTGATGAGGTAAAATCATATCTGAATGTATGTTTATAGCAGAATTGTCCACTTCTGCTTATTATTGTCATTTTTTTTTTTATTGTTTGAGTTGAAGTAATTCTAACTCTTAATGTGGTGCTTGATGAGCTTTAACATAATCTTTAGGGACAACAAGGACCTATTGATCCATCTCAGCTGTCTCATCCTCTAAAGAAACTGAAACTATTAAATAAATAAATTAAAAGAAGTAAATAAAAATCTTAAAGCCAGCACTTAATATTCATATAGTTATCAAGCTTTCTCTTAAACTCACTTGAATCTACTGCCTCCACAATATATGAATGCAACTCATTCCAGAGGCCAACCACTCTCTTAGAAAAATTTAGCTGTCTTTACTAAAAATGACTCCTACCATGCCAAAATTTATACTTCTGTCCCCTAGTTCTACTATTCTTTCCATTAAATATGAAAAAATATAATGCATCAACACTGTCAATTCTCTTTACAATCTTAAACACCTCAATCAGATCCACTCTAACTCTTCTTTTTTCAAGAGAAAATAATTTTAAAGAACTTAATTTCTCCTCATATGACAAACCCTTCATCCCAGACACAATTCTAGTAACCATCCTTTGAACCCCTTCCATCAATTCAATATCCCTTCTAAAGTAAGGAACCCAATAAGGACTAAACAAAATACTTGAAATGTGGCCTAACCAATTAAAATGTTTGTTTGTTTGTTTTTGAATTTCGCGCAAAGCTACACGAGGGCTATCTGTACTAGCCATCCCTAATTTAGCAGTGTAAGACTAGAAGGAAGGCAACTAGTCATCACCACCCACCGCCAACTCTTGGGCTACTCTTTTACCAACGGATAGTGGGATTGACCGTCACATTATAACGCCCCCATGGCTGAAAGAGCGAGCATGTTTGGTGTGACAGGGATTCGAACCCGCGACCCTCAGATTGCGAGTCGAGTGCCTTAACCACCTGGCCATGCCGGGCCTCAATGAAATTATAACCTCTTTAGGCTTGTATTCAGTATTTCTGTAAATACAACCTAATATCCTATTTGCCCTACCACTAGCAACAGCACACAGTTTGAAGTGCTTAAGAGAGTGATCACTCAATATACTGTTGCGTCAGCGAGTCACATGACTACAGTGACGCAACTTTTCTAGAACTATCATGTACTTTGGCGAATGCTCTAGTATTTACTAGTAGGGTAGGCTGGTATATATAAGAGGGGAACACGTGACGCGGGAAGGATTAATGTAATGTGTGTGTAGATAGTGAGTAATTGAACTGCAGTCAAAAGTATTATTGACGTTCGTTGTTATAGCGTTTGTTTTGCGCGATTGTTG